TGGAAAAACCAGAAGTGCAAAAAAAGGAAAAGAGAAAAACAACAAAAAAAGATTTGACTTCCAACCCACTACGCAACAGATGTAAGTAACAATGTGCATCTATCTCTTGCTCTAAATTTACTACATAATTTCCATTAATTCTATTAACCCATATTTCTTATTATCAAACCAATACAACATAATTTCATTTTCTACATCCCACAAAAAGTAAAAAAAAAAAAAACCAATTAACACTAAAATTACACAATGTCTTATCTCAATTCAAAACTGTCGATTTCTCCACCTCAGCCAACTCCATCAGCTTCACCATCCATTCTTCCACTATAGATAATATCTTATCTTTCCACCTTTATGCATTTAAAAACATTGTGGCTGTTACCATATACAAAAAATAAAATTATAAATAATATCATATCCTTCCACTTTATGCATATTAGAATCTTACTACTACTGTTATATATAAGAACAAAAATTTCATAAATTTAATAGCAAATATATTTTAACCTTAGTTAACTTTATACCAAGATCCTTAAAACATTGTCATTCAGTCCTGGTCACAAAACAAATCCCACTGATAACTACTGAAAGCCCCAGAATATATGCTAACCATAGAACAATAAATTCACTTAGTAAATCTTCTGTTTACTTTTTAAAAGCTTAAACTTTAATCCTTTCTTTCTTCCGGTTGGTTTCCCATCAACTCCTTGTCTTCTCCCAGGAACATCTCCAATAATTTCTTTTCGTTTCTTCCTAGGAACAACCTCACCGATGCAATACGTTCCTTTTGCAAATCCAAAGTAAAAAAATCTTTCCAGATTGCTCTTCTCCATTAGATGTATGTTCCCTTTGAACATTGTAACATCAATTGATTCCATTTGTAATTCCATTCTAGCATCTTTTTCCATATCGTCCTTTGGCCCTCTTAAATCCATATTTGAATTCACAACTTCTTTATTCATGTCACCTTCATAGTCTGACTTTTTTGGAACTCAAGTTGCACATTCGGTTCAGTGTCCACCTCTTTTTCAAAGTTAATCATCTTATCTACTCTTTCCTCTATCTTTATTTCAAAGGACTTAAATTTAGTTCCTAGTTTATCAAACATTGACTGGAGTAAACTTAAAAGGGTTATTTTGTCTTCTAATGGCTGTTCCAAGGGACCCCTCTTAGCCATTTCTTCTTCTTTTTTTTCTTTCTGTTTAGATAAGTAAAATGTATAGCCAGATATAATTAATTACAAATGAAAGTAAACTACAGTTTATGCCCTCTAGTGTCTTTCAAGCTAGAATTACAGGCACACATGTTCACTTCAAAGGGATTTCACAGGAATCAAGTTACAGTCTAGTTCTGTTTTTAAAGCCCCACCAATCAGCAAATGGAATTGAACAAAACAAGAAACTTTCCCATAGAAAACACAAACCTCGTTGCTGCAGATGGAGTTTCATTAAAAAAAAAAAAACTTTTAACCAATAAATCTTCCTTTTTTCACTATAAGTAAATTTTAAGTCTCTTTTAAATTCTGCTTTTCCTCCAGCTTTTTGAGAATTAATCAGCTTAACTTAAAGCTCTATTTCTTCATTTAAAAATATAGTCCCAGAAATAAGGATAAGCCCCAAGAGATTTACTTAACTGTTGTGAAGGAAGGTCTCTCTATTAAAAATAGTTGTAAACCAAGGTGTTTAAGAAATGAGAATCGGTCAGCTCTAGTGTCCATTAAAGGCTGCACAGCAGTGGTGAACTGAGGTGGTTCCCCCACCTCCCAGCCATTCAACCCGAAAGCTGTTTCGGGGCTTCAGTCTCTATGATTAGCTTTTGAGGAATGGCTGTCTGTAGACCATATGGGCCAATTTCCTCGCTTCCTCCTTAATTTGGGAGCAAACTGGGTGGCCAGTGCTTGCTGCCAGCCACCAACCCAGCTGCAGTGTCATCTCTTCCTGTTGTGGAGAGATGTTTAAGCTGCCATGTTCCCATCAGAAGTCCCTTGGGCCACCTACATCTGGGGATATTCCATCTTTAACTTGGATGGGGTTGTACTTCCGAATTCAAGAGTGGTACACAATCCTAAGTGAAGCATATGGCAAACCTGGAAAGCTAAAGGGCAATAATTATGGAAAGAAAACTGAATCCACTTATCTTACTTATCATCATCAATAACAACAACACCATCAACATCCTATTGGCCATTTTTAGGTTAGGGTTAGTCACAAGTAACTTTAAAAAGAAGTATTTTAAAGAATGGGTCAAATAGTTAGGAGAATGCCCAGTAAGGAGACATTCTATGCTGAGAACTCACCACCACGCAGACCCTTTCCTGTCTCTCACATAATCTACACCAGTCTTACAAGCAGACCCCCTGTATGTGGAAAGGCAATCTCTTTTCTATTACGTTTGTGTTAACTTACATTAACTTTACCAAGTACAACTGTGAACAGAGAGCTTTTGTTCATTAAAAGTGCTATGTAAGGTGTACTTAATATACCACTGATCCTTACAGGAATATCCAATGTTACCTCTGTACGAACTCCTGAAGATAGGATTCCTTAGGACACCATACTGTTAAGCATAGTTTCCTCATTGCCTCTAACATGTGCCATGAAAGGACTTTTTGTTTTTTGAAGGAGTTTCAATATAAAATTGATGCTGCAGAAGCTGTTACAAGACTTGTAATAGTAGTTACAATATAGACCACATTTATACTTTTGAGAGAGAGAGTGAGAGAGGAAGGACGGAGGGAGTCTACTTTCCTGAACTACATTTTAAGGGCCCTTGTCATTCTGTGCAGATGAATCCAGAGAATTTGAAAGGCCTGCTAACTCTGCTCAGCTCTGTAAAAGAAAGAAAGAAAGAAAGAAAGAAAGAAAGAAAGAAAGAAAGAAAGAAAGAAAGAAAGAAAGAAAGAAAGAAAGAAAAAGAAAAACCAGACTCTTGATTCCATATTAAAGCACAAAAACATTGCATTTGGAATAAAAGAAGACCAGAAAGCAAGACTGAAATATTGATCTCATGCTTTGCATATTGTCTTGAGGGTTGGAATGGTTGTGTTTCTTTGCCATTGATACTGTACATGAGCAGATGATTTTTTTTTAACTTTGAAGGCACTTTAGGTATCACATTTTGGAACAAGAATATGCCATTCTTGTTCCAAAATATGATACCT